CGGGATGGGACAGGATGGGATAGGATGGGACAGGCAGCCTGCAGCCCTGCCTGTTGTCCCCACAGCATTGTGACCAGCTGGATCGAGACTAGGACGGTGCAGTCCGAGAAGGCCCATCTGATGATCCTGTTCGACAAGTACCTGCCGGTGTGCCTGGAGAAGCTCAAGTCTGGATTTAAGCGGATCACCCCGGTCCCCAAGGTGACAGTGATACAGACGGTGCTGTACCTGCTCGATTGCCTCCTGACGCCGCAGACCGTCCCGCCAGAATCGCCACGGGAGCTCTACGAGCTCTACTTTGTCTTCGCCTGCACCTGGGCCTTCGGCTCAGCCATGTTCCAGGACCAGGTCCGGCCGCCTGCCTGCGCACCAGAGCCCCCTGCCCGGCGTCATCCCTCGGCTGTGTCCCTGGGGACACGCTAACACTGCTGCTGGCTGGTTGATGAGTTTTTCTCTGCCTGGTTCCTCCCAGCTCGTGGATTACCGTGTGGAGTTCAGCAAGTGGTGGGTGAACGAGTTCAAAACCATCAAGTTTCCTGCTCAGGGGACGATTTTTGACTATTTCATTGATCCGGAGACAAAGAAATTCCTGCCCTGGACTGAAAAAGTGCCGTCATTTGAGCTCGATCCGGACATGCCTTTACAGGTATTGCCCAGCGCTCTGTGTGTGCTCGGTGTGTTCACAGCCCCAGGGGCTCCCCCAGCACCCAGAGTGGTGCAGGGACATGGAGGGGCTCTGGTGGCACCCGCAAACCCCGCGGCTTTCTGCAGCTCAGCTTCACCCTGCGAGAGCTGCGAGCTGCGGCTCTTTCTGTTTCAGCTTAACTTGTGGCTTCGTGGATTCCCATGAAGTGATTCTAACCATTGCCTGGATGGATGGACGCTCAGGCTTTATTTGCCTGGAACGCTGTCCTGAGGGAGGGGGTTTGTCCAAGATGTCGGGGGAGGGAGAGGTGCCAGGGCTGAATCTGGCGCGTGTGACAGCTGAGCCAAGACACCAGGACAGCTTCGGGAACAGTGCTGGGTTGCTCTGGTTTAATAACTCACTTTTCTGACAGCTCCTATTTGTGGTCAGAAAATCTTTAGAATAACCAAGTGCCTGAGACCTTTGCTTTAGAGAGGGACCAGGTTTGTATGGAGCGAGCATCCTCCTTTGGACCAGCCAGCATTGCCAGGCAGACCCGGCACGGCTCCGGCGCTGCTCCAGCGGACGATCCCGCCTCCACGCCCGGGGCTTGACGGTGCGATTTCCCCAGGCCTCCCTGGTGCACACGGCGGAGACCATCCGCCTGCGGTACTTCGTGGACATGCTGATGGAGAAGCAGAGGCCAGTGATGCTGGTGGGGAACGCGGGGACGGGGAAATCGGTCCTGATGCGGGACAAGCTGGAAACGCTCAGCACAGACCAGTACCTGGTGCAGTCCATGCCCTTCAACTTCTACACCACCTCCGCCATGCTGCAGGGTAAGCTTGGCCCCCACCCCACGCC